ACACCAAACACATAACTTCAAAGCTAGTTTTGCCTTCCCATGGGTAAGATCCAGTTTTTTCTTTGAGTAAACTCCGTAAATAGCATATACTTTTTTACGACCAAAGAGATGAGAAGTGCTAAACTTATATAAATCGTCAAAAAGTGCTTTTCTTTTCCCTTTTCAGTGCAGTTGTGCTGCTGTGTTGTGCCTCTATTCGATCAATTCTGGGACCGTTGCAATATCCGACTTCCAAGTTCCAACACTTTTCAGCGAAAAAATACACACTTGTGCGAGCTATTGGGTAGTGTGACAGTGTTAAATTAAGTCCTTTTCCGGTTATCAGGCTGTTGTGCTCGTGCCCGTTCGATTGAATGCACGTTGAAATATTTGACAGTGAGTTTATCGAGAGCGAAAATAGTTTCCAGGCTGAAGGAGTGAAAAGAGAGAGAAATAGAGAGAGAGAGAGAGAGAAAAAAAGAGAGAGAGAAATAGAGAGAGAGAGAGGGAGAGAGAGGGAGAGAGAGATGAAGAGAGAAAGAGAGAAAGAGGAGAGAGAGAGAGAGAGAGAGAGAAAGAGAGAGAGAGAGAGAGAGAGAGAGAGAGAGAGAGAGAGAGAGAGAGAGAGAGAGAGAGAGAGAGAGAGAGAGAGAGAGAGAGAGAGAGAGAGAGAGAGAGAGATGCAAATCGTGTTTTATAAAGCAACGTTACATAAAATACTCAGCCGAACATCAATACTTTTAGTTTAGCCACGTCTGTAATTGTGAATTTTCTTAGAACTGCTATTTCCTTCCAAAGTGCACACCAATGTTGTAAGCTCCTTATAGTGTAGTGTGACCAATTTTAGACTAATTCCGTCCTAATAATGGCCGATGCCATGCCGTTTCCAGATCCGATCACATCACAGAGCCCTGCTGAAACGCTTTGTGATCGCATTTTTACTTAGGGATGCCTATCTGGACGTCCTTAGTTGTTGACTAATTACGGGTTTAGAGTGCGTCAGGGGCAAAGATCATTTTATATGAATTTAGTTACAACTGAAACAAATCAGGAATGAAAAGCTTTAGAAGGTATCTGGTGATCTTACTTTTGGTGAAGCCCTTACACGGATGGTGCGGAGCTATATACGCTCCAATCGTAAAACGTCATTGCGGGAGGGGTGCGTTCCATGCTTTGCCTCTTCGAACTCTGCTTCCGGGCCACGTATGGGCATGTGGAGCTTGCGACCACGAAACTGCAGGAAGATTTTTCTACAAATATTACATACATCATTAATGATATTGGTATGCCATTTCGAGCATATTGATGTCAAAACCGGGCGAGTCACTTGATGGAACTGAAGGGAGATTTTTCGAATTACGGTACTCCAAAATTGCGTTTAAATCCTGTCCGTCGTGGCGTTGGATATTCCAAATATGCTGCTCACCGTAATAGTGCGTAATGCATAGCATAGACCAACAACTTCCCCAGTACAAGTTCAACAAGTTCCCCAGTAACCGTGCCTGAGTTTCGGTCTGAGACACCTGGGCTTTTAGTAAGTTTTCCCCTGAAACAGTTATCGTCACCCCACTCGCCGGTGGAAAGTCTCAGCAGCCACAGGGTTACCAGTATGGCGGCTGTGGTGTGGAGAGTACAGCCAAGTTCACCGCTGGTAATGGAGCCATTGTACTCAGTAATCTCGTGGGGGTACCGCGAACAATGCGGACATTTTTTTAGCTGATTATTTATGTCCGGTATAATAAGGTTTCGACGTTAACCTTAGAAGAGTGGAATAAGTGTTACACGAGAAAGGCCGTTAGGGAACAAAACTGCGATCATTTGTAATGGTAGTCGCAGGGCTTTGCGTTAAAATTTTGACACCTTTTGGCCTGGGGAATATTTCCCGGGTCTGAGATGAATAATTCGAATACGAATACTCGATACGAATATTCGAACTCCCCTACGAATATTGACGCTAACACCCGAACACTAACAGCGATAGAAGCGGGGAATTTTCATTACCTTTCCTCCAATCAATTTGAACTCCTCTGAAGCAGCAATTAGACTAAGCTCTCCTGGTGACGTCACATGATATGCTTGCAACCCTTGCAATGGCAATTTTGACTTATCAGACGTAAACTTCGAACAACTGCCAAAAGCAGATAAAAATAAATAGCAAATATAGCTATGTAGGACATGTACGGGTGTACTCGTGAATCCTTTTTCTATAAATTTGAGGCGGGTGAACAGGCTAGTTCAAGGTCACAGGCCTTTCGCCACTTGCGCTTTTGATACATGCTAGGATATTTATCTCAGATGTCGTCTTTGATTACAACTGCGCTTTTTATTGCACAACACAACTGGAACATATAGACACGATCATGAGCGAAAAAGACGCACCATTGTGCATGATTTGTATGAAGCCCTGACTATTCTGAAGGTATACTACAGCGTATACTGTAGCGAGTAACGCGTGTAATAACTATGCGAAATCTGGAAATGAGCATGCTTCTCGCAACAAGAATTCAACGATATCCAAATATATATATTAGTTCAAGTTCAAATAGTGCAATAAAGGCAGTCATGTTACATGATACGCGTTTGTGATGCATGTACGTACAATGATTTGAAGAATCTTACACCACAAACGATACTTGCTCCAAAAGCTCTGCATAATCGCTGTTCAAATAGTTTCCAGTTACCTCAAGCTCGTGCTGATCTCGACATTAGGAGCACTGGCATGAACGGATTTCGCGGCCTCCAGGTAGTGTTTCCTCAAAGGTGAGGCATAGCACATTAGGAAGCTTAGCTCACATTACTTCGCAACATTATTTTGAGCGTAACTAAGCTACACCAGGATAGAAAAGAGTATCGTCGCTGGATTAAACAGAGTCAGTAGCGTTGAGTTCCTGGAAAGATCATCGTCCCAACGCCAAATGTCAGCTGCGACCTAAATTCACACTTCCAGGGACTAGCCACTAACAAGGCCGGCCCGTATAGGAATGGTCTAGAAGATGACCCGCACATGACCCGCATTTAGTGAACGATGGCGAAATGGAGACGCACTAATGAAACATGACTGGGCGGGGCCCGCATCGGTGCGTAAAATCACTACCTAATTAGTGTCACGTAAACGAATAACTTGCCTAATAATCACGCATGCTTCCCAGAAACAGGCAAGGTGGTAGAAAATAAAGCATTGATCGAAGGTCATGCCTTGATCAAAGTCGTACAAATTCTTGCACGCCGAAGAGAATAGTCATAAGTAATGACACTCGGTCAGTGGTAGTTATTGGCGCGAACAGACACGGAGCAGAGCTATAAAAGGTCCTTTTTCATTAGGAATGTCAATTATTTCAATTTAAGGCACAAATGAACACAATTTTTCTTTTTAATCAATAGTAGGTATATTTAACTTGATATCATGTCGATTTATTATAACCGCAGCCCTATCACCCAAAACAGCTATTTATGCAATAGCCTTCCCACAAAAATGCTCAAACATCTTACCTTTTTCATCGCCTAGAATATTATTTGAAGGATATCTCAATTTTGTTGTTATATTGTTCAGCAATTTAATATCGGGGATCTAAAAAGATGACAACCATTTGACATTGTTTCTCCAGTCCTGTGAAATCCGGACGCTTTCATCTGATGTTAAGAGCTGTGTGAGGCCAGTTAGTGCTGGCATTTCTCTTTCACCGGGTAAACCCAACGGCCAACACATACCGGATGTTGGCTGTCAGAACGACTGGAAACCACATCACAGGGCTCGTTCATGCAGCGTAAAACGTTCGCAACATTCAAGTGGGATTTAGAAATGGGCTGGGGAATTCATGGGACCCTGTAGTCTGTACTGCTGTACAGTATGCTATTTTTGACCACATCGTTCTAAAGTAGAGAAGTTTGGAAACGAAATTAATTTATTATTGCTTCAGCCTCCTTTTTCAAACATTGAAATACGTTATAATTTTGTAGCTATGCTCTTCAAATCAATTCTTTTCGTTAAAAAAAAAATGAGCAAGCAATGGTGTTTCCCTTCATATTTAATTGAACTACATACACGTTTCTTCTTTCATATAGGCAATACGCATGCACTGACAGCTATACAGCACTGGCCAACACGAGCGATAAAGTGTTGTTGATAATGATTAACGAAATTTAGCACGAATGCACACCAAACTATTCACCCCGCTCGTTCGGCGTGGGAAGGCCAGTCAAATGAATCTTTCACATCATTTCACTTAATCCTGACCCCGGCCCGGGCGTGACCGGTGCGTCATTTCAGGCTCGTGGTGACATATCATTTTGAGCTGACGATGATGTGTCATCAGTGGTGGCACGTAATCAGTGATTAGCGGTGTCGGGTCCGTTGTGATGTCGTTGGTTAGTGGTAATTTGAGTTTACTGGATGTTGACTGGGGGTTGGTCCCAGCATTGTCAACGAGGACAACTGACTGAGAGTTGCCTCTGAATCTACCGTGACTTCCAGTGTGATATCTTCCGCGTGATCTCTTCCGTGAACTCTGCCGTGAACTCTGTTGTGAACTCTACCGTGATCTCTGTCGTGGCATCGTCCGTGATATTTGGTACAAATGGCATGTCTTCAGGCTAATAATTGCCCCCAGTTGTACCTGCAGCTGCCGGCAATGGACTGGGCGCTGTCTGTCTGTCTGCTGTCCGTCTGTCTTGTCCGTCTGTCTGTCTGTCCGTCCGTCCGTCCGTCCGTCCGTCCGTCCGTCCGTCCGTCCGTCCGTCCGTCCGTCCGTCCGTCCGTCCGTCCGTCCGTCCGTCCGTCCGTCCGTCCGTCCGTCCGTCCGTCTGTCCGTCTGTCCGTCTGTCCGTCTGTCCGTCTGTCTGTCTGTCTGTCTGTCTGTCTGTCCGTCTGTCTGTCTGTCTGTCTGTCTGTCTGTCTGTCTTTATCTCACAGCGAACGTTGACCTCTTATACGCTGCCGTCGCGTCGACGGGACGTCCGATGGAACTACGCCTCCCTCCCCTCCCCTCCCTTCCCCCTCCCCTTCCTTCCCCTCCCTCCCTTCTCCGGAACCCAGCCCCCAGGCCTCAATCACGGTCGGCCAGATATTTGTCAGCGCTCAGAGCAATGCTGAGCAATAGCGTCTGATGAGGCAGCCAGCCGGTATTTTGACGCAGCACCAGAGTTCTCCTTGCAATTGGCGCTGCGAACGAGTGCGAATGTGAGTTGGAGAGAGAGAGAGAGAGAGAGAGAGAGAGAGAGAGAGAGAGAGAGAGAGAGAGAGAGAGAGAGAGAGAGAGAGAGAGAGAGAGAGAGAGAGAGAGAGAGAGTGAGAGATCCCTTAAGTAACAGACTCTAGGTTAGGTTTCACATCCCTAAAACAATGCCATCAAAACGTTTATTTTGATGTTTATTAGTTACTCTCTTTAGACTGGTACAGGCATGAAATGTGCTATCACATGTGCTATGCTATTCTACAGCCAATCCCAATCCAGGAATACGCCACGCTGAGACTGAAGCTCCGAAAGCTCCAATCTGTCTCCCTAATCTCACCTGGGAATACAACCTGAAGAAGACTCCCTCGTGTCCGAACGCGGCCCCATTTCCATCGTGTTCGTGATTACATCCGATCCGACCGGAAGTCAGCTATTTCCGCTGGATCGCTTATGCTGGACAGACACTGGCTACCTAGATGGTGCGAATGAATACGACATTATTATGAAGGATAATTTATAAAATGATGACGTTTTCTCACTGCATGAGATCTCTCACTGGTTTTAATAGCTCTCTCATTAACTCTCACAACTCTCATTAGAATTAGATCTATCAATAGCTCACACTATAGTACGCCCACCAGTTATCACTGTAATCGCACAAATTATCACCTCTCTCACTAGATCTGCCATTGGCCATCGTGATAGCTTTCGATACTTCTTTCACTGGTTCTTACAGTTTCTCACTCGATCTATCACAGTTTCTCACAGTTCTTACCTTTGTCTTCCCACAGACTGTTCGACGAGAATCCAAACATGAAGGACGTCTTTGAGGCCTTTCGCCAGATCGAGATGGAAGACGTCAAGGCATCGCAGGAGCTGAAACAGCACGCTGCAAGGTAAGAGGTGGCGGAAACGAGAACGGGACGTGACACGTAATGTGATACAAGTGTCATGACATGTGTCACGGAATTTCTCACATTTGTCAAGTCATGTGTGTTACGACATATGTCACACTTTGTTCGTTGTAGGTCATTGACATTTTACATTATTGCACCAAAAATTTGTCCAAGATCGCGCCGCGTGTTATAATTATTTCGCTCTTTCAGTGAGAATTGTGTAGCGCAGACAAATAAGGAGTACCTAAATCTTTTTTGAATAATGTAACAGAAATTCAAGGGCTAGAAAACAAAATAAAAATGACGAATAACCAGCACAAATATTTAAAATAATATAGTAATGCCTTGAGAATAAAAATTGCAATGCGAACAAGAGTGTGTTACGCTTAATTTTCGCTTGCAATTTGTTATGTTACGACGATGCAAAAATAATGTAATTTACACAAAACTTTTCTCGTCTCCCAAACGACGGATTGAAACATCTATGGAACGCAACGACTTCAACAGTATTCTATTTAAAAGCAATATTTTAGCCATATGATTTATTCACAACCTCACGCAGACTGCTGCAAGGCACACGCTGTCAGTCAGCTGGCACGGTGCCAATACCCTCGGGCGTTTCTGCTCGCGCGGCCTTGACCGGCGTCTGCCGCGGGCGACCGTTGTCTTGGCAACCTTGCATCAGTTTTGACTGGGCGGCAGGCATGCCTCATCCTTGCCGACCGTGGGGGGGGGGGGGGGGGCTGGGTGGGGCGGATAGGGGAGGGCTGGGGATTAGGGCTCCTGCCAAAAGACACGGGATCTGGCCGGAAGCACGATGTCAGGGCAGAGGAGAGGAGGAAGGCAGAGAACAGGAGATGGCGTGATTTAGTCGGGATGGCGAGACACTCTTATTAGCATTTATGAAAGAGGCGATTTACAATGCATATTAGCTGTACAACAAAAGACGCAGGTCTTGGGAGAAAAGGAAAACTGTTTTGGTTAGCCTTGTTTATAGTGTAGCGTAGCTTACAGTAGCGCTATTAAGATAATTCATAAATTCTGACACATAAATTCAGACGCACCACACTTCGGACATAGCACGTATAAAGCTAGCTTTGGATACCTAATTGACCGAGCTTTGCACGTTGAATATAAAATACAAAAATTGTGGATATTTCATCAATTCGCAGGGAACAATCACCAATCCACATGTTACGAATCACGTGCCACATAACTATTAGCATAAATATCCTACTGACATAAACTCGCAACATTTATGTCAACATAACTATTTAATTGCTCAGTATGGTCGCAATCCACTCGAGTCAAGCCAGTGCAGCTGCGGCTATATTTCATCTACAAAGAACAAATTAAAGCCTGCATGTGACAAATGTCACTGACCTGCTTCCACTGTTGCTGATGCAACATTTGCCTCTGGCAACCCCATCACATGCTATGAAGCAGTGTGTGCCCACTGAATGCATTGTGTGCAATATTTGCAGTCGGGAAAAATGTGAACCAATGCACGACAGAAGCCGGCCATGGATTTCAGTACGGCTGGGTAGTTAACATATTGATTTTCCCAGGAAATTCCACGGAAGGAATGCAAACAATTGGACTTTTGAGGGAGGTAGGTATAGACGTTAGCCGCACAGAGTTTAGGTTTTATTTAGGCAGAGTTAAGGCACAGAGTTTTATTAGAGTCCATTTCGCTTATTTATGCATTTGCACGGCGCGTAACAAACACAAGTTGTATAGTTCAAAGTACCAAGAGTGTAATGACGAACTTCATTTGTGCACTTAGATAAACTCTTTTTGTCGCTGATAAGTCTGTATAACCATGTTGTCACTTCTGCGACACTGTCCAATCTCTTGTAAAGAGTTCCGTATAATCAAAAGCCTATGCATTTTTCCTTCATGGCAATATGTTTCAGTCATCCATCACGTTTTTACAATGCCATCTCAGGAGAAATAAGGAAATATATTTACGTCTTGAAAATAACTCAAGCGACATATTGCATGATGAAATAGCATGCAATGCCAACGACACTAAAGAAAAATGCATGATTAGGGTGATCTATGCTCAATCTTTACTCCTTCAGGCGTATTGAACACAAAGTGGTATCGATTAGACAAAACTTGACTGGAAGGAGATGCTTAGAAACAAATCAAATGCATCTGGTCATTTCCCAAGAAAAGCCATATATCGTTCCTAGCACACGAAAGCTAATGGCATGGCTGAACGCAACTTCGCACATGACTTTCGTTTCAACCGATACTCCGTTCGGATAAATCACGAAGTAGGTATCTTACCTACCGATGTGCTGACGCGCTAACTGTCAGTGCAATTCAACGCCAGCGGCTTCGGGAAATTATCTCCCGATTGAAACTGAGGTGAGGCCTTCGGCCGGTGCAACTCCACGCCTCGTTTCAAGCCACATTTGAAACGGTGAAGGCAATTGGACTACGAACCTCTGCAGTTGATTTGGCAATCTCTAGAACTGAAATAGCGATTGGGTCTGGAGCGGTGTCTGGTCGCTAGGGACCGATCGGGATCGCAACGGGTTCTTTCAGTTATTGTGGGGCATCACTGAAGCCTGCCAGTGGTCAATGTGAAACGCTGAAATGTTTTGTATCGTGAGGTCCAATGAATAAATGCATTTTGCCGTCTTCTTTAGTCTTGGCGCATTCAAAATGAAAATAGCGTCATAACAGAAATAGAAAATATGCTGCGTAGCACTTCATCAGCTGTGTCACATTGGGTTGTTTATTATACCTTACTTTATCTCAACAAGCGTGCCCAAAAGATGCCTCCTTTTCACCAAATTGCCTTCCTAAATCCCGAGCAGAAGCCACAATCAAATACGCTTCCACGATACACACGGCGCAATCATGTTCGAGAACAGCGAATATCGACAAATTCTGTGCTCAAAGTTGCACGATGTTTTGATCCGTCAAATGATCGGCCAGGGTTTTAGCTGTCGTAAAAATCATTATCAACATCAGCTAACAGCTGCATAACTTGCACACAAAGGCGCCAAAAGGCTTGTATTATTAGTCCACGGTCTACACTAAGCCATCGCTTCTGAACTACAAGCTGAGCTAACATGACCCAGAACAGAACTGGACGCTTTGTCTGGTGGCTGGGGCGACCGTTTTCTTATTGGCACGGTCAATATTCACTTCGAACTGAAGCTATGAAAGAGTGAACGGAAAACAAACGTTCTTTATTTATTCCATTTGTTAGGGATATTGTCGGAGTTGATGGCTGAGTGATTTATTATTCAATTCGATAATGGATGTTTGATTGATTTAAATTGTGTCTCATGTAATGGCTTTCTTCTTTCCAAAAAGCATACGAACTTCTTATTAGGCTTCCTGTCTCAAGAACTCTTGACTTTTTATCATCTGATCATTTAAAGTTGATAAACTATACGGAGATTTTATCTCAACTCGTTTATAACATCTCGCTGCTGTCGATCAAAGAAATGTTTAGAACACAAACAATAGAAGCATGGGCCCATTGACGGCCGAACATTGCCGGCTACGTTCGACCGCACACGACTGCACTATTTATGAGACAGAGCGAAAAGTGCCAGCTGCGGAGTCTAATTTCAATGCAGAATTGTGGTGGGTCGGTTACCAGACCGTCGTCAGGCGGTGTTGCTAGGCAGTTACCAGATGCTCGTAAAATATCAGAAAACAGCCTAACGGATGTGATTTTTAAGCTTGACCTCAGTTCAATTAGAGGAGAAGTAACGCATTTGTCTATTTCTTTTTTACCGGTGTATTCGGAGTTCATTGCAGGCTTGAAATACAATACGGTTGTAATTAGGATCTAATTAGTGAGTTCAAGTTTCACAGAGTTGTATGTGCATTCGTAAGTCGTTTTATGCTTTGCAGCTTGCCAGGTAATTAACATTGTGCTCATTCATTCTGATTGTTTTCAACAGTCTCCGTGAACAGTTGATTAATACTTTGGTAGTTACCGAAAGTCTCCATGACAAAAAGATAATGAATTGTGCACGTTGTCCTTAGTTGAGGCCACCACGGCAACGACCAACGTATGACAACAAGCAACAAAACCGTCCGTTCAATTCAATATAAAACAATCGTATAGCCTGCACGACAAAACAAAACTGATGTATTCTGCGTCCACGATAACAAGTCACCAATAAATGCCCAAACAATGGAGCAAAGTCTTTCACGCAACTTTAGTATAGATTCCAGCTTGGTCGGATATCACTAACAACCCTCAAACTATGACCCGCTGTTTCTGAGCAATATCCGTGCAACATGATCTGCCGGTTGCTGTGCAATTTCGGTCGCCGCGGCCTCCGTTCCTGGAAACGACGACATTTCGTCCGCTTTCCACAATGGCGAAGGTCAAGATAGTCGCATGGGGCTATCTTCGTCACCCATACGTCGCCATAGTCTGCCCAGAAAGCATTGTAAACGGAGAATGGCACTGACAGAATACCACAAGATAAACGGCAGACGTGAATGACGACTACTTGGGCCCCATGACTTACTGAAATATGGTCAGATTTGAAGCATAAGTTCTCGGTAAAGCGGCACAGTAGCGCCTGAGATCAGTATAGAGGCAAAATTGAGATAACTTATGTCAGGATATCTTTCGCTGAGGAATTAGGAAACGCGAGGGATGATTACAGAGACATTATGTTATTATGGAGACAGTGCACAAAGGAATGAAGGAAATTGAGTTAAGATAGCACTAGCAGACTCGTCCTTTTTGGGTTAGACAGCGCTACGGGTCAATAGGATCTCATTTAAAGCTTTTATACAAATATTCGGGTTTCTTTCATCTGATGACAGGAGAACGGCTTCACTTGAAATGCATTGCCTACAACACTGATATCTCGCTTTGGGATCGATTCAAAGCTGTAATCTAAAAGTACGCAGTGGTTTTATGGGAATAAATTTACTAAATACCAACGACAAGATCACTTTCACTCACAAACACACTACCCAGCGCGATAAAAGTCAAGTCAGCAGCAGACCAGGTGATCTTTAAAAATGAATGAAGGCGATCGATTGTCGGGAAGCCGATGGCGAAAGCCGGTCTGGATTTGTATTGGATCAGCCGGTCTGTCGTAGACAAAGCTGACCTTTGGTAGACGCCAGTCTGCTGAGAGAGCCCATTCGGGACTCGGCACAAGCAATGATCACGATGCCTTCAATTTCAACGCGGCTGATCGGAAATAAGCATCGCTCCCGCGTGCTGTATAATCTATTGAGATTCTAACCCATGAGCAGATTCATCTAGGGATAGCGATTCCCTGATTGGAAATCGGACGAATTGACGTCATGCCATGTAGCCCTAAGGAGGTGTACAATTGTGAGCAATGATTATAAATAGATGATTACCCGTTAAACCGCTTGAAACTGTTGTTTTCATAGTTGACACTGATCAAATGAAGGTACGTGGGGCCGTGGGCACATGAACATTGAACTACGAATACTTTCAACATACCTATGAGTTATATTTAGTTTCGTTGCAATGTTTATCTTATTCACAGTAGCGGCGGAACATCCTCAATTATTAAGGGGGGGGGGGGCACTGCCGACTTTTGGTCCCATTCTTTCCATGCAACGCCCATAGGGCTAATGTTAAAATGCCCAAATCAAAGGGGGGCACGGTGCCCCGGTGCCCTCCCCGTTCCGCCGCCTATGCTTATTCACACTGGTCATATAATGTCAGCGTAGGCTACCAACACATTTTTAGCCGGCCTCGGGATCGTGCTGCGCTATTGCAGTGACTAACTCAGCAGCACCACAGCTGGTCTGGTTGGCTGACACGCTCACTTGTAAACTGGGAGAAAAAGCAATGCTGCTACGAATAAACTGATAGCTATAGTTCGTTTTTTTTTTTCAAAAGGACGCTGGCTCAAAGTGCAATATCGAAGCTCTCACGTGAGTTTTGGCAGCTTCAGTGTCTGGCCAAGAATTTCTTACCGAAAAAATGATCGATTTCAAATTGTGCACGGTAAGTAGCTGGAAATTGTTTCTTAAAAATGAACATGCATAATGACGTCACTGGTGGCAGCAGGCACCCAATTAATGTCCGTGCAATGGGACAAGTGTCAACGAATTTGGGTGAAACTTAGTTTTTCACTGTTGCCGAGCATAATCGAGTAAGCGGTTCCGTCCATGATAGTTATACGTTACATTGCAATACGTGTTCGACAGCATGACGTCACCACTGTTCCCATATCTGGTTCCAAAACGCACATATGGAAGTTATCGGGAAGAAATCACATGTTAAAATTAGTCGACATTCGATTTTCTCAGGTTCAGTTTTTGCTCGTTTTGGCGGCTAGAACACGTGCTTGTTCGAAAAACATACTTGGAGCCAGCGTCCTTTTGAAAAAAAAAACGAACTATAGTAGCTGCTTACCTGCATAGTTTTACCCTCCACAGCGAGTGCAAAACGCAGCTGCCACTTGGCAGGAACATAATGCGATGCTAGCGAAACGTATTGTTCCCGATTAGGCCTGACGTAATACGTGCAGTTAAAACTCATAACTAGGTGTTGCATTGCATTGATTTGTTTTGTTTTACGCTGCCTTCCAACGCCCATCAGCAGCACGTCCATGAAAACGACGTCTAATAAATGGGAATAAATGATGGAGCCGAAAATAAGTGATCTCTTTTCCCTTGTGCGCCTTCTACCGAAATTTATAGGCGCCACGTGAGGTGGATTGAATGCCTACCACGCGCATTGGAATGCTTTTATCAGTGCCTTCCCCTCTCACTGGATTCATCGCACGCGTGCAGCGAAGCGCAGGCATTTCTTTCGTCGAAATTGGGCTGCAGAAAACATGATCGCCAACGATATGTTAGCCTTTGAACGCTCCGTTTAACTAATGCAATCCATCGTTCCTATGATTTAGCACCCCTCCTTTCGTAAATTTAAACCGGTCTATCTTTGATGGTTCACATGTTTTCAGTATTTTCGCTCCATCACCCATCTGGTCTTTGATAGCTCAAAGTCGGGCCTTTGTTCAAGACACATATGACTTTTCATCAATAGTTTCTAGAGCAGCACTCATACGTCACCTTGGGCATGTCTCGTTATTCGTTGCTCACACGCACACAGACACCTACCCACAGCCTATGGTGACGTCACTCATCACGTGGCTTTTCTCCCAGGGTATCGGTAACACGCGGAGTCCTCACAGCTGCTCCGCCATCGATCTTACGCCTTACGCTCCATGTGTTCTGTCGGAACACCGGTAGATGTATGATGTTAGTCGTCGTGGCGCAGTGCCGGCTTTTCATCATAGTCGTTCCACATATCGTACTTCCCGCCGTGAGAGTAATTAGCAATACAACGATGGAGGTAATGCATGGGGACGGGGAGAGACTTGGGGAAAATGTACGATTGTACAGACATCTATAATGGATGATGATTTGTCCTTCTTCCCCAGCTATAGCCTTGTGCTAGCGGGGGTGCTAAGTTTTTGAAAAATATGATGGTTTGTATAAAACGTGTGACGTTTGTATGGCGTATGTACATATATTGCGAACTGATCAGACCAATGATTAACAACGATACAAATAACACGCTTAATCCAGCTTCCGATGAATGTTTTGGGGTACGGCATGAATGCTGTACTTGTAATTATTCATTGGCTATCAGGGAAAATGGTTCGATTTGAAATGCAAATCTAATCAAACCTAAACAGGGCGGAGTGGTCCAGTATTGCAATCTTGTGTGTAGCACGATTCCAAGCATGTCCAATAGAAATGTGTCTTGAATAAGTTTTTAGGGTTGATTTTTGTGACTTGATAATTTCGAGACGAAAGAAAAACATTTGATGAAGGAAAAGTGTTTCTGAGGTGTTCAGAATTTCAGCCATCATCACTTTGTTTAGTAAATTATAGACAGATATAATTTCAGCATTTTGTATTTACATGGAACCAATTCTTTTGAAACAGCACATGCGTAATAAAAAATATGCTACTGTACAGTGAGGTTGATAAATTAGTAAGTACACGATGACGAATATACAGAGTTTCAACAAACGCATTTTCATACATAATTTGATGTTGAAATTTTGAATATTCTTACTTAGCTCCTAAAACATATTTCTCAATAAAATAATCACATAAGCGCGTCATGTAGTGAAATGTAGCGTTAATCGCGCTGCCGGAATCTGATCAAGCTGGAACGATTTTCGGCATCCTCTTCTGAGAACTTCGCTGTTCCGCTAGCTCGCGATTAAAGTTCCGAACATGACACTTCTATTTCGTGCTGGAGACCAACTTGGCCAACATAATGCCCATAGTTTGCACTCGATTGGCGCTCATGTCAGTGGTTATTCACCAGGGCTGAAATATGGGCCTCTGCTACAGTCAGCTGGTGCCCAATTGATAAATAATGCTCCGGATGGACAATAAACTTTTTGCATGAAAGCTTCCTCATGAGCTGAATACAATATACCTTGGAGACACGTGTGTGAAATAGATGTCTAAATTTTGTTAACTAACAAGTGATATGCTAGAAGCGTTTGCATCGCCTTAAACAATATACGAGATCGGTGACGTCTCGCTATCTGAATCCTTCATCGAGCAGAATTCACCCTTCGGCCTTCACCGAGCACCAGTCACGGCAATAGCGGAACCGTTTACACTCATGGTCAAGCGCTGTTCGGGTCCTAATCCATATTGCAGATGCACGTACTTTTGAGTTATTTATTAGCGAGTTTCAATTCATTTAACTGCTGTAGCTTTTTCTCCATCATGTCAGCAATTGTAATTTGTGCCATTCAGGTTGTGACGCTAATCTGTTGACGTCATCGGCTCATAACGGCATCGCCCTTTGAAGTACCCATATCATTCAAGTCTTTGGACTAGATTTAAGTAAAAACGGACGTTCTAGACTAGCGTTGTAGTGACGTTCAAGTGAAAGGAGAGGCAGAAGGCTTTCAGGCGGAGCCTTTGATGATATGTTTTATTACAATATGTGCACTTACGGATGAAAAGACATTGCACTCAATGCTCATTCGCTCAATATGCTTTGAGATTCAGAGATCGGAAGAAGACATTATCATCAGTTGCATTGTGGCAAAACATGCATTCTTTCGACATATATTCGCAGTGCAAGATGTATTTTAGCTTTTCACAAGCTTCTTAGCCAGAACCTTTGGCTTTGCAGCAACTGAGAGTCAAATACTTATCGCAAATCGCTGCCAGGGTACTTATTGCTTTCCAAGGACGTATGAAGTCAGTAAGATCAAATATTGCGATTTTACCAATCACCTGCATCTATCGTCTGAACTTCCCTGATAAATCAACAATATTCACCTTATGTAGACGAGAATTCAAGCCATCCCAGTCTCAATAATGGATATTGCAAAATACGTAATATTGCTTACTAATACTGATTGCAGCAGTTGCAATGCTTCGGTAACATGAACGATGCACTGAAATGTAGCATCCATGTTTTCAAGTCATTGACATTTTTCATTCGCAGACACTGCCATTCCGTAATCAATTCGAGGAAACAGTTGGATGTTTGTTTTAGGTAATGACATGAAATTCAGCCAGTGCTACGGTCTAATAAGCTATGAGAATCAATCAGGAGTTTTTAGGGACTAACAACGACTCATTCTACAAAACTAACGCGCACCTATCTTTATTTTTGCAGGGTAATGGGCTTCGTCAACAAGGTCATACTGAGGCTCGATTCCGAAGAAAAATACGGCCCCCTAATGACGGACTTGGGATGCCGACATCTTAGCTACGGAGCAAAACCACAGTACATTGATGTAAGTTCTCGACAAAATATTCGGAGCTGGAGACATATAATGTTCAACAAATGCTTATGTGGCTGTTCCGACTAAAAGGGCAGGCACACAAAGCGCCGGCTTTTGCCAAGAGAAGCTAATTCTTTTACCATGGTTGCGATGATAATGTCTAATAGTGTGCAAGTGGACAGAAGTTAATAGACAGCTTGCTGTCGTTTAGAGTTGGCTTCATCTTGTTCCCCACTCCCCAATGATACGTGCAGTTAGTTCAGTTAGATATGAATGACAAGATCTATGAGTGACCTTCTAATAAGTGATTGATAAAGTATGCGGTAAATGCAATATTGCGACCATAAACGCGCCATCCCTCGCCGTCTCCCGCCTTCATATGAATACCAGCAGTCAGGACTTTTCCAATATACTGTTCAATCACAGCTGGACATTTCAAAGTTTCTTCGCCTCCGGGCAAGCAACTACGACACATGTTCGCATTGGGCTCGCAGTGCCAATATTACTGCGTAGTAATGAAATCATCAGTTGACAAAGCTACGAGGCAATTTAGATGAGGAAACTAAATGAGTGATACATAATCAAAAGTCCAACCAGATTCAAACACACACAGGTTAAGAATTATGATCCAAAAGTGGGCTGAAATTCTGAGAATTTATAGCAAACACGTAAGCATGAAAATGCGACGCACATTGAATGTAAATTAGTGCCTCTTCAAATGTGAACCAGTTTACATTTGCTGCCAAAAAAAAAAAAGATGTGGTAGTCCAGAATACATACAAAATGGCGAATCAATGCGAGCGATACGCGCTCTCAGCTGTTGTGTCTGACAGCGATCGCCGCGGCAGTGAGACCGATCAAACGCACGACCCGGTTCCTTTATTTTTGAAACCCACCGTGTGACTACCGTACCGTGCTAAAAGCAAGGATATTCTGAATGTGTCGTTTTTGTCATTGTCGTAGAGTGTTTGTCAATGCCAAAAAGTACCCAGAAGAAGGAAGTAGGTATTGGTGGGTTATTTTTCCAGTGCTAGCAATTTTCGCCCACTTAACTCTAATAATCTTCGGCGTTTTGTTCGGCTTTGAACCAATTTCCCACTGATGGTGTTATGCGCTGAGGTGCATTTCGCCAGTTGTTTTTCGACATGCTCAATTTCAGTTCGATTTCTTCGTCAGTAACAACGGACATCAAGCTCAACTCCCTGACCTAGACCAAAAACAACGAAATCAATATTCTCAATTGGTTTGTTTCTCGCCCTTCAGCGGCTTCGTTTCCGCCCTGTTCCAACCATCAACTGCTCACTCACCCGGCACAAAAAGTCACGAAACTGATTTCTGTCTGGTCTAGGCGTTCTGCCAAATGGAGCGAGCGATCGTTAGACCTTGGGACGGTGAGCAAAACACAGTGACATGGTCTCGCCACCGTTGGGTCATTAGCATCTGGCCCGATGCCATCATTGGGGGTTCATTTGGCGGGTCAAACGATCGCGGGATGGCTGGTGATCTGGGATAGAGCGATGGTTTCACGGCGGAATAGTTTAACATCATAACTATTCCGCTATGAATAAAACAGTGTGGAATAGTTTGAATTTATATTTGCTCGCAGCTGTCAATGCGATGTCCAACACGGGGACCGCTGGGCCTCCGAACTCCCGCCGGCCGGCTGGGGGAGGGGGAACTAGTTCCCCTCCTTTACTTCTCCGACGATATCGTCGCAACGCGAAGAGATATAGAAGTAAAACTTTGCACGCGTATTTCTAGCTATCCGAACTTGTGTCCGAATTTGGCGTCGATCCCATTTGATTTAACGCCACAGTGACGTCAGAAGTCCTATTATAAATTTGCGTGTCTTAGTTTATCGCGAAATATTCGATATATGGGACCGAATATAAAGGATCAACCACTGGTCAGGAACTAGTTATCAGTGTACTTAGATGTGTCAGGCTGACACCAGATGCTGTTTAGTTCATTTACCATTGAATTGCATGCTATTCCACATGTCTCGACCAGATAACGGGCTTGCTCTATAACCCACCTCCTTGTCTGATACGACAGTACCAGTCCCCCCCCCCCTTCCCTTCCCATTCTTGGCTAATGACCCATTGCAACTACTCTTCGCTTTTGTCTGATGGCCACTCCCTCCGAGTCTTACCGGCCAGAACACTTACACCTTCCTTTTGTGTGTTACGGATTAGCACACTTACGTCCTCCTTCCGTGTCTTACGAGCCAGAACACTTACACCCTCCTTCGATGTGTTACGGATCAGAACACTTACCTCCGTGTCTTACGAACCAAAAAGTTACGCCCTCCTTTTGCGTCTTACGGCCCGGGTCAGTACGTTTACGCCCCTCTCCGTGTCTTACGGGCCAGAAAAGTTACGTCGTCCCTCAGTGTCTTACGGACCGACACTTATCGATCCCCCGTCTCTCTCCAGCTGATGGGCCAACAATTCATCATGGTGATTCGTCCTAGCCTTGTGGAGGCGGAACAGTGGAGTGATGGCGCCGAGATGGCCTGGAGAAAACTATTCCAGGTAAGAAAGGAATAGATGGCCTGGAGGAAACTTTCAGGCAGGACCAGCAGAGATTTCCAGGATAAAAATATTTCAGGCAGGACCAACATACGTTGGATGAAGCCAGGACAGTGATGAAATTATTCACGTAAGACTGAAATAGATGGCCTGGAGCAGCTCTCTCGGGTAGGACCAACAGAGATGACCAGAAGAAAACACCACGTAGGACCGGCATACATACCCTGAATAGGTGGAAGCTGCAGTGACATGTTTCAAACGTTTACCACCCAGCGGGCATGTTCCGTGCACGGTAACAGCTGTAACGCATCTCACAGTCGGGTCAGGCTTACGACCGAGGGACTCATTTGTTTACGACTGATCATTCTTTGACTTGACCGTTGGATGGCCGCCAAGTAGCATCAAGGTCGGCATTGTTTGTTTTTCGGGCGCCATTGTTTGTTTTCGATGTTGAACGCTTGGTGATCTACCTGTTGATCGTGCTGTTTCTTGGCAGTGTTTGTTGAATCTTCTCCCTTTGTATAATCATGCTATTAGCGGCAGGTACCTATTTTACGTTCCATTCATGATAAGCTTTTGTTAAACCTTGCCGGCTAAGGGGCCGATTTTTTTAGCTCATTTTAGACTTATTGTTAAAGATACATGTGTATAATGGCCATTGCAGCGTACATTTAACCTCTCATGAAATATTAAAAAGCCGCAAATCATAGACAATCGTCTCACCTTCAAAGAGTTCAGGAAAGTTGGTCGTCAAATCCCGGAACCAACTTTGACAGACCGTTCGTTTGGGTGTGAGCAAATACTCACAACTTGGACCAAATCACCCAGCTTTCACAGCTCGTCAGAAAACTCACAGGCTTCGACAAAGCAATCAGGACTGCAAATGCGTCTTTTTGCCAGCCTTCTCTTAGCAATCGAGTACATGTATTGCAGTCCCTTAGTAAAAAAGCATTTTATAATTATCTAAACATATTCATGGATATGCATGGCAAATGGGCTAAACTCATTACGATTAGTATGAGGCTTATATTGAAATGAACTGTTCTTGACACTATAATCAACCAATTGTATTAGCTCGTTGTGGCCATTTATCCACCTGTCTTTAGACTCTCACATTCATTAACATTCAACAGCGTCTGTCGGTTATTAAATATTGTGAGTTGTGACCACACATGAACATATGTCATCGTTTCACCCTGTCCCCCTAAAACTTCCCTTCAGTTAAGCTGAGGCTTGTTCAGAAGGCTATACTTACCCTTTTCCGTGTCTTCCTTCTTCAGGTGATCAGCCACAGTATGAAGCAGGGTCTGCGGGACAGCCAGGCGGCTGAAGCGGAAACCTCACCCAAACGCAGCATTCGACTGCCTTCCCTCAAACGGAAATCGGTGGCGCCTCCCAAAAACTGTCCCGCGCATACGATTGAATACTGAATGTGCCATGTCAGTGTGCTGTGCTGATGCGGATATTTCAGTACTGTGCTGATGCGGACATGCCAATGTCGTGTGCTGATAAGGATAGGTCGGTACTGGACTGGTGTAAAAATATCAGTACCTATAGCCCTACATACTGAGCTGATGCAAGGTCAGTCCCTTGCTGAATGACGTAATTATAAGACTCTGAGAAACTGTTGGGGATTTGCCACTGGCAATCGGGCACTGAGTAATGAGCATTGAGAATAAAGCGCTTGTTTGTGAATTGTGAGACTCAGGCAGGTACTGATAAGTCACTTTAGGACGAGTTTTTTACTATTTGGTGCATATTTCGTCCAATCAGGCCGGCTTAGGTTCAAATAGATTTCTAGTTGTTTTTTGAGTAGTTTTACTTCCCGCAGACAAAAAGTAGGTTATGTTTCGTATCTGTATCTGAACAAAATAAGATAAAAAAAGCCAGGTAAAAATCCACACATCCTTCCAATTAACTTCTTCGGCAAATAACCTAATCTGACCTGATTTGGCCTTATTTGTACCGAGTTGAGCAGATAGGATGTCTCAAAAATGGCTTTATCGAGTGCTTAGTGCACAGAATCAAGAATCATGACGTTTGGTCGGATACCGGGTATTAACGGTTTAGTTGTGGGCACTCTAACGGTATAGTTGTGGGCATCTATTTGGGTAACGAGGCTGGTGCACAACTATTCGCCCCACGCCCACTCAACTGTTCATACTCAGGTCACGAGCAGCAGTAAGTTCCTCACCAAAGTCGAAACCTGACGTGGCCCTGAACGTAAAACTAGTGGTCACAACAGGTTGGCAGTGAAAAAGGAACACCCAACAGTTAAAACGAGTCGGGTCACAACAGGCTGGCAGCGAAAACATGGTGTAGCTCCGTGACAAGTCATCAACTTAGAGCCACAACAGTGCTCCAGGGGAAGCAACACGTCCTTCGTAAGCTGAGCCACTGTATCGTAATCCAGCTCACGTAAATGCCGCCGAAAAAAATCGCGAAAGTCGCGGCGAAAACTGGGACCATTCGCTGCGGAAAGATAAGTCTGCCGTCCGCTGGGGTCAGTGGGAAAGGGAAAATAACAGTTGGAATGACCCACGTGACTTGACTGGATGAGAACCTACGCCGCGAGTAATGAGTTTGTAGCCGCGGTGAAATTTTAGAACTGCGAGGGTGATATGCTGCATTGCCAGCGTGCGTAAAGAAGTGGATACATGCGGTGTCCGACGCGTAGATATTTGTTTATTTGAAATAGCCATGTGAGTAGATTTTAAGTGCAGGTCGACAGTGTATGTGAGTGAATGACACGCTGAAGCGGATGATTGAGGTGTCGGATGTTGTACATTCGAAGATTCTGATTGTCTTGTGAATTGTTCGGCATATGGGCATATTATCCGCTGATTTTTTTTCAATCAAGGTTTGTTTAATTTTTCGTACGTAATGACGACTATCGACCAATCTGATATGTCGAAGGTGAAGAAGGACCCCGTTTTGCAACCATCTTCACGTCCCTGTCACGCTCGGCTCCAGTGGTTAACATACAATCCAAAATGCACAGTTTTTAGCCTCTGTAAGGGCTCCGGAAATGACGAGTTCACTGCTCATGTCTCTGAACACGAATAACGATCACTGTACCGTCGCGGCTGCTACTGCTGTTATTGCTGTTTTTGCCGCAGCGTGTTAAAAAAATAACGTGACACTTTCGGCCACGGACATGTGCCTGAGGGCAAAACGAAAACACGATAGCATGTACAGGGTGTCCCATAAGTTCGTTCTCACCTTATAATTGCGTGTAAAACAGAGTACATTGCGTTTTGATATTTTTATAATCCCTCAATGTGCTCCCCATTTCATAGGCAAACACATGAATACATGCTGCGACATGCCAACCGGCATGTTTGGCAGCGTAGCAGGCTTGAAGTTAGCCCAGACTGACTTGGCATGGGCCGTGAGCTCCTCAATGCTGGAACACCGCTTCGCTTCGACGAGCCTCGATTTCAATATTCCCAACACATTTTTATGAAATTTGGATCCGATGAGTTGCCTGGGATGTGATCTTGCCACAGACGCCTATCACAGTCTCCTGGCACTGCTTCTAAGCTTTGCTTGACCTGTGCACTGATGCACTGTCTTGCTTGAAGATGGGCCTACGACCTCCCGGATGCCATTTTCTCCTAAAAAAATGTGGTCATACTTGCGGTTCGAGTTAAGCTAGAAAGCTGAAACTCCTCCTTGATCTTCTTGGAGAAGCATTCTGCGTCCCAAGACTGTTTCTGGAGTATCAATCGCAACGTGATCAGTGTCTGGACGCATATTACCCCACATTACCGTGACCCTGGCCTTATGCATAGGAATAAAGCGGGATGACACAAAGGCCTTTTCCGTCGCCCATATGGGACCGTTTTGGGGTTTGGACGGGTGTTTTATCTCGAGCACGGACTAGGTAGTCCAGATGACCACATTGATGTCATTGGCCCTCCAGTTTTTTTAGCCTGAGGCATAACGAAACACATGTTTGGCCATTTTAAGACGTTTTTGACTGTTTTGAGCCCTCCGGTAAGTAGAACTTAAGTCACCTTGAGTTAGGTACCCTGAAATGATACTCTTCGACAGCTGGTAATGCATCCTGAAAAGCATGTTTACCAACTTTCTAACGCTAAGACCTTTTTGACGGCCATTTTGGCGCCACACAGTTTTGGCCACATGGCTCACTCGTGAAAGCTGACAAAAAAAAAAGAGCATAAACTTGCAGCGATTGACTCCCGACAAATCATCGGCGTCACTTGTTGACTGTGCGTCCAGTTAGCGACAGACATTGGCTACATACTGGATGGCCTCAATCACCCTCAACCGTTGTGAATGGCCCAGTGCGGACTAAATACCGAGACGTTCCCATATCGGAGACCTCTATGTTGCGGCGTAAGCCGTCTCCACAGGAAGTGAACTCTCTGGCAAAAAATATTTTGTCTAGACGAATTAGTTACCGTGGAGCACATTCACAGTTGCCATGGCAACCCCAAAAGCTCAGTTACAAAATAAATTAAGCGTGGCTTTAAATAAGAGAGCCTCTAAAAGAAAAAATTAGGTGAGAAGGAACTTATGGGACACCCTGTACATTACATACACAGCATCAACATCAAATAGTCGAATGGGACATATGAACTCGATACGTTTAACGTGCAACAATGCGAGTGGAAATAAACGTGAAACACCGACTGTCAGGGCGTCCAAAACAACAATAAACAACGATCCAAATGAAGCTCAGAAACGTGGCTCTACAATATAAACTTTATCAAAATTTGCACATAAAAAGATACGCGTGAGCTCACACGGCTTACCACCGACACATAAAAGGCGTGTTCGTGTGGCCTCTGTTTTGTGTACGTGAGTATTTGCCAGTGTTTGCGTGTGTTTGGATCCGTGTGTAAATATGATGACGGCACTGGACTGAAATCCATACTGATAATTGTGATAACGTGTTATCAGGTATACGTTTTCAAGCAGTGAGTCATACCTACCCGGTAACACTATCGGCTACTGTTGCGTTGGCTGTCAGTTTGTGAAGAGACAGAGTTTATTGCTGCCTGTTCGGTGTTCGTTTAGCTGCAGAAGATATTCGCGCAATCTGTTGCTGCAAATGTATGGCTTACGTGGCGGGTGGTATATGTTGTGTTTTACTGTATATGTAGTTCTCTTTTCTGACACTTTTCTTGATCGTCCGCTGTATCAGATGTGCTGTGTTCCTGAGACATAGTTATTTGGTTGCTGTGTTTGACAATGAGTCAATATATCTGATATTGTCATGTAACGATGTAAATACATGAAAGCTTGAAAACATAAAAACATCCAGATCCATTTTTTATTGATAGGTTACTGATTCAATCGTTTACAAGTTGCAAAAGCTACTCCGACCAAAACAATGCATTATTCTGAAACAAAAAATTTAAATGGTTGCACAATGCACGTTTTGACGAACGTTAAGGCATACACTTACTTTGGACCAGTTCTACACTCCACAGGAAAGCTGGTGTTCCCCAAACAGAATCCCGACGGACATTTCTATTAACCATTCAATACAGATCACAACAAAGCTTCAGCTTTGCAATTACGACTCCTAAATGCACCGCACAGCTGCATTGAACAACTCTCTGCCTTTTCAAAGCCGCTCCAAATGAGTTTTCTGCAGCTCAGAGGCGAGCTGGTCAGCCGTGGTGGTGCTGTCCAGCCAAGGCGGATATTGCAGTGAGTCCCCCCACCCCACCTCCCACCCCCACCACCGCAGACGACCTCTCACCTCCCCATACCTTCTCCCGACGAACTCTGATGCCCCCTTTGTCCCTACAATCCCATCTCAACCCCATGCTATTTAATCACGAAATCATTCAGCATTTTGCGGAAGGAGACGGCTGTCAGAGTAATTCATTTCGTTTTACGCACCAACAGATGCGTACTGTTGAAAATCAGCTCTTTGTCTTTTGGGTCAGAGTCCCTTTCGGATAAGCCAGTAACCCGTGACCCCCCCCCCCCCCTCCCCTCTCCCTCACAACTGTCTGAACGGAGTTCCACGCGGCAGACTTTGACAGTCGTCTTGGCTTTAGCGAATGATATCTGCTCAGTCTCGGGCCACGAGGGTGAAAACTCAGGCGGATTGGAAACGTTGAGCTAAGGGATTGGTGCAGTGAATCGACGAGAGATTATCATTGGGTCATAGACAGACAAGGATTAGGTTATTCTTTGTGGGTATAACTGAATATGGTATAATATAGGCCCTCTGTCGTATTGGGATAAAATAATCCGAGTAGTAGTGTGCGATAAGTTGGCTGTAGATGTTTATTTCTATAATAATTCCCTTTGCTCTGAAGATCTGACAGTGAGCAAAAGCTTAGAATGGTTTGCGGCACGCTCATAATATTTGTGGTAAGTGAACAGCGATAACAAGATTCATAAAAGTTGAACCGGGAACTGTGAAAAGTGTATCCAAAGTTCGTTAAATACTTCATCGCACAGGTGCTAAAGAACTAAAGAACTGCAGTGCTAAAGAAAACTACACGGAATTTTTGCCGAAGCTGCTGCTTGGGTTTATTGTGCAGCTAATGCACGTTTTTCGGAGCGAAATTAATACTCACAGATGGGGTATGATATTTAGCTGTGTCCTCCAAGGAATAATTATAAAAAAAATCATAATTATACTTATAATTTTAGATGCTGATTCAAACAGACCGTACCGTGAATGTGTTGTGAATGTGCTA